GGGAGAAAGAGATAGAAACATCAATGATGAGATAGAATCATTGATCGGCTGCACTGGGATTGAGCCTGCAATCCAGGCATGTGTCCTGACCAGGAATTGAACCATGACCTCCTGGTTCATAGGTCAATGCTCAACCACTGAGCCACGCCAGCTGGGCAAAATGTTCTAAATTTGGATTGTGGTGATAGTTGTGCAACTCAGTGACTATACAAAAAATGACTGAATGGTACACTTTAAATGAATCAATTTTATGTTATGCTAATTACATCTTAGTAAGGCTGTTAAATAAATATTTATGACATTGGGTTAAGCAAAGATTTATTAGATACTAGAGGCTCGGTGCACAAATTCGTGCAGGGTGGAGGAAGGAACCTCGGGAGGTTGGCCGCCCACCCCAAGGAGGGAGCCAGCCCTTGGCCCCCTGGGAAAGGGGCCAAGTCCACTGCCACCCACCCCCAGTTCCCTGTCCCAGCCCAGCCCCGAAGGCCCTGGTGGGGTGGGGAGAGGAGGCAAGGGTCACCGGGCTAGAAGCGGCAGGAACTGCCTCCACCCTTCAGCCTTCCCTCGCTGCAGTACCACCAATGCAGCAGGCGGGTGGCCCCTGGGGAAGGGAGAGGACAGGAGTGAGACAAGCTCTTGGGTCACAGGCTGACTTTCAATAGATCACAGTGAGGGAGCTGCTCCACTATGTATGAAACGCCGACCCAGAAGCAGGTCTCTACAAATGGTTTAACACCAGGGGCCAATGGGTGCTGCTGGCTGGGGGAGGGGCCATGGGAGGTTGGCTGTGGGAGTACACTGACCACCAGGGGGCAGCTCCTGCCTTGAGCGTCTGCTCCCTGGTGGTCAGTGTGCATCATAGCGACTGGTCAACCAGTCTCTCAGTCATTCCGGTAGTTCCGGTTGTAATGATCTCTTAGGCTTTTATATATATACTAGAGGCCTGTTGCACGAAAAGATTCATGCAATAGGCCTTCCCTTCCCCTGGCTGCTGGCACCGGTTTTCCTCTGGCACCCGGGACCCAGACCTTCGCTCAGGCTGGAGCCACCTTCAGTCTTCGCTGCTCCAGCCGGAGCCGCCTTCAAGCCTTCGTTCCGCCGCTTCATGCCTACATATGCAAATTAACCACCATCTTTGTTGGCAGTTAATTTGCATATCTCGCTGATTAGCCCATGGGAGGGGTAGCAAAGGTACGGTCAATTACCATGTGTGTCTATTATTAGATAGGATATTTGTGTGTGTGTGTGTGTGTGTGTGTGTGTGTGTGTGTGTGTGTATGACATGAAAAGTATGTCAAAAAATGATATATTGAACTTCATTAAAATTAAAAGCCTTTGCTCCTGAAGTATACTAAGTATAATAAAAAAATATAAACAATAAATTTGGAAAAATATTTGCAAAAAACATATTTAATTAAAGAATACATCAGAATATACAAAGAGCACTCAAACTTTAATAATAAGAATGTAATCTTGCCATACAATCCAATAATTCCACTCTAGTTATTTACCCAAGTGAAATGTAAATCTCTGTAGACCTGTGTACAAATATTTATAGTGGTTTAACCTGGAATAATCCAAAGCTAGACACCAACCTGAATGTCCCTCAACTGGGGTATGGATAAATTGTGGTACGTCCATACAATGGGATCCTATTTCATAATATAAAGGAACCAACTACTAAAACACTCAACACACATCTCAAATGCATTATACTAAGTGAAATAAGCCATATGGTATCATTCTTTTTTTTTAAAAAAAAAAAATTAATCCTCACTCAAGGAGTTAGGATATTTTTTCCATTGATTTTAGAGGGAGTGGAAGGGAGGGGAGAGGGGGAGGAAGGTGGGGGGAGAGAGATGATAGATAGATAGATAGATAGATAGATAGATAGAGAGATAGATAGAGAGTTACCGATGTGACAGAGGTACATTGACTGGTTCCTTCCCACTCGCACCCCTGCTGGAGGCGGGGATTGGACCTGCAACCCAGGCACTTGCCTTGCCCATGCCCTTGATGGAGATTCGAATCCCCCACCCTCCAGTATGCAGGGCAATGATCTAACCATGAGCATTGCCATCCAGAGCATTCCTTCTTTTAAAGTCCTCACCTGAAGATGTGCTTTTATTGATTTTAGAGAGGAGAGAGGGGGGGGGGGAGAGAGAGAGAGAGAGAGAGAGAGAGAGAGAGAGAGAGAGAGAGAGAAACATCGGTGCGAGAGAGATACATCATTGCTTGCCTCTTGTACATGCCCCAACCTAAGGGGATGGAACCTGCACACTAGGTATGTGTCCTGACTGGGAACAGAACCCACAAACTTTTAGGGCCTGGGATGACACTCCCACCAACTGGCAGGGCTGCTATCGCCCAGTTTTATAACGTTCTGAAAAGGGGACAAAAAGCAAAGCAGGCCAGTGTTTGCTAGGAACCGAGGGTGGGGTGAGGGGAGGACTACCAAGGGACCCAGGAAGCTTTAGGGGTGCAGAAGGTTTCTATATCTTGATTATGGTGGTGGTTACACATCCCTGCAGATTTGCCAATCTCCCAGCACTTCCAACTGAAAGAGTGAATTTTACTCTATGTAAATGACACTTTTTTTTTTTAATGGAAATACAGGGTGGGGCAAAAGTAGGTTTACAGCTGTTAGTATGGAAAACAATACAATAATTAATACATCTATAATAATAAAAGTGTAATATGCTGATTAGACCTGGGGTCCTTCCAGACGAAGCCGAGGCTTCAAGGGAAGCCTGGGTCCCGGGTGCTGGATAGAAGCCGGTGCTGGCAGCCAGGGAAGGAAGGGAAGGAAAATTCTTGCGTGAATTTTGTGCATCAGGCCTCTAGTAATAATATAAGAATAAACACTGTGTATTATGTACTCACAACTGTAAACCTACTTTTGCCCCACCTTGTAGAAAGAAACAGGAAAATATCATGCTGTACTAAATTATTTTGTATGACCAGCTGGTGTGGCTCAGTGGTTGAGCATCAACTATGAACCAGGAGGTCACGGTTGGAGCCCATGCCCTGGTTGCAGGATTGATCCCCAGTTGGGGGCATACAGGAGGCAGCCAATCAATGCTTCTCTCTCTTTGTTGTTTCTATCTCTCTCTCCCTCTCCCTTCCTCTCTGAAATTAATTTAAAAAAATTTAAAAATTTTATTTTGTAGTAAAAGCCTGAATGAAGTATACACATTTTTAGAGATTTTGATAAATTCTTCCGAATTTCCCTCAAAGAACATATAATCCAGTTTACACCAGCTCTGTCAGAGGAATGAGAGGGTCTGGGTTCTTACACCCTCCTCAACCCCGCTGTGTCGGCACTTCTCACAGTGCCTCACTCTGGGCGGGCGCACGGGGCACACGGCAGGGGTCTAGTAGCAATGCCCACTGCAGGCCGAGGTTCCCAGCAGGGACAAATGAGATCCCACCACCGAGGTGTTCACTGTGCTGATGGGAGGAAGGAAGGAAGGAAGGAAGGAAGGAAGGAAGGAAGGAAGGAAGGAAGGAAGGAAGGAAGGAAGGAAGGAAGGAAGGAAGGAAGGAAGACAGCATGTGTGTTGGGAGGCTTCCCAGTGGGGATCCGGGGATCCGAGGCTTGGGGTAGAATGTTGAAAGGAAGGGTGGCTGAGGGAAGCATGACAGGTCTTCTGGGAGCTGAGAGGTCTGAAGCGGCAACGGGGTCTCCTTCCTCTACCCCACGCCTGGCACCACCATTGCACGTAAGGTTGTAAGAACAGACAAATGAAGGGCTGAACCCACGAGTAAGTTAAGAGACTGAAAGTTTGGGGTCAGCAAAGGTAAGAAATTCCTTGGTTTGGGACTTGGAGGCTCAAACTCAGTTCCAGACTGTGGCTGGCCATGCAATCCGGAGGCTTCTTGCTCTGATCCCCTCAAAGGGGAAGGAAGCCGGCACAGGTGAGTGGGGGAGCACGCATCGTCCTGGGCTCACACCCGAAGGAGCAGATGACACAGCGCCTGGCTGTCGTAGTGTGGCCTTTGATTCTCAGCCCTGGGGACTAGGTGAAGGGCGGGGTCTTGGCCAAATGCTGGGTCATTATAGCTGGAGCTGGTGGCTGTACCGGTGAGATAGGGTTGAGCGGAGGAAGTGGAGCGGGCTTGCCTGTGTGCTGGCTGGGGCCAGAGCCGGGGGAGAAGGGGCTGGGGGTGTGGCTTCTGGGGAGGCGGTGGGGGAGGGTAGCTTCAGGAGGCCTGCAAGAGGGAGCAGGAGTCTCCTGAGAGCTGGTGGGTGAGTAGGCGGGGCAGGAGGACAGGTAGAGAGAAGGGTAGGGCTAGGGAGACATGTAGCGAAAAGGAAAGGCAGCTTGTCTGTGTGCTCGTGTTGTGTGTGTGAGAGTGTGTATATGTGAGTGTGTGTATGGTTGTGAGTGTGTGTGTGTGAATGTGTGTATGTGTGTGTGTGAGCGCACATGTGCCCCCACGTGTGAGAGCACAGAGGCCCCTCCCTGAAACTAAAGCTTTGTCTCTGAGTTTTAGAATTTTTTTCCTGTCACTCTAACTGTGACAAAAATAAGACTGCATTTGAGCATGAAGGTTATTTGTAAGCGTAAGCGGGAGTGACAGTTCTGATCTGACCAGCGCGGGGGTGGGGTGGGGGGATCCGGAATGAATGCATCCAGCAGGGATGAATGAATGAATGAATGAATGAATGAATGAATGAATGTCAGTTTAGAAGAACCTCCTTTGAATGTGTGTTTGTGAAAAATGCAATGTCCAAGATGCCTGGCCCTGGCCACATGACCCCTACCCCCGGTGTTAGCCCAGAGCATTCCAGAGAAGTCTGTACCTGAGGTTCTAGAACTTCACACCAGCCTCTAGTCTCAGAGCAGGAAGCACGACTATTGGACCAGTTTCCAGGAGGGAATGCAGAGAGCGTGAGCCCTCCCTGGGCTGGGGGCCCAGACTGGGCGGTGCAGCCACAGCTGCCTGAAGTTTCGAGGAAGAGGGCGGAAACAGCCGCGGCACCGCCCTCCCAGGCGCTGCGGGCTCCTGGGGCTCCTGCGGTCGGCTGGTCACAGCGGTCCCGTGACTTCCGCACTTCCCTAAATGGGCAGCTTCACTTTGAGAAGCCCAGGTTCTCCCCTGGCTGACCCCAGGGGTCCATCCTGCACCGGCCGGGGGCCCTAACCTTGGGCCCCAGGTGTCGGCCCCTCTGGCCTGTGACTGTCTGCAGCTGGATGGAGCCATGGCTCCCACGCTGCTCCTGCTGCTGCTCCTGCTGTGGCTCCAGGGCTGCGTCTCAGGTGAGAAGGTGGGGGCGCCCGGGGGTGGGGAACTGCCTTTTGCTGGACCCTCCCACCTGGCTGTTTCTTGCCCAATGACCTTGTCTCATATTCTGTGGAGTTGGAGGAGGCGAGGGGGAGGTTGGGCTGCTAGCCTAAGTAGCTCCTTACTAGAGACCAAGGAGAAGGTTCCATCCTAATACCTGGCTTCAGGCAAAGCTGCCCCAGGTCTCCTGAGCTCAGACCCACTCTGCAGGGCTCCCTCGGGGCCTCTGACTGGGGACACTGGGGACACTCAAGTTCCTCACTCAGAAAGCCGCCACCCCCCCCCCCCCCCCCCCCCCCCCCCCCCCCCCCCCCCCCCCCCGGTCAGAAAAGCCTTGTTGGCTGTTACGGGAATCATTGCATCATGCGTGTGTGCTTTGAACTTACTTTTTCTCAGAATGCTGATGCCACTGCCCCCTGCCCCAAGGGAAAGCCATCCCTGAGGGCTTCCCCACCCACAGGCACCAATGTTCCTTAAGGTGGGCGCTCACCCAATCCTGCCTCCCTCGTTGCCATGGCAACCAAGTTACCACTTCCTGCTCAGGTCTGGGCATGGAGCGGGTTGGCAAAACCCACTCCTCACCATCTGTGAGAGGGGTGGAAGGTGAACACGAATGAACCCAGTACCCTGGAGACCCTTCCCAAGGTCACCCCATCCAGGCCCCTCCCCCAGGGAGGCCCCCCTTCTGCCAGGGCAGAAGAGTGTCTCCTGTGCTGAGCCATCCTGGGGCCCCCAAACTTCCCACCTACCACATACTCGAGTTGGGTCACTGTGTTAATTTGCGTGGGACAAAGTGATGCTCAAAGATGGTGTGTGTTACTTTACTCCAAGCCTTCACTACTGTGGCAGCTGGGTTGGAAACTGAGGCAGATGTCCCCTTGGGTGCCAGGCCCTTGGTTATCATAGCTCTAGAGAAATCTGGAGCAACTCAAGGAAAAGCATTCATTGAGCACCTACTGTATTCAAGGCACTGTCCTAGGGCATAGTTCTCATAACCAACCTGATCTGCTCGGGTGGTAGAATCAGAGTTTTCACCGTGTTTATTTAGACTCCAAATGTGTGCTCTGTTCTGTCCTACTGGGAGTAACTTGTGTATTTGTGCTTGTTTGCAGAAGGCTCTGGGGGTGGTAAGGGGCAAGTGCTGGGCTTACGGCAGGCAGAAGGGTGGAGGGACCCCACCCAAGCTCCTCTCTTCCTTGTCCCCTGACTCGACACATCTGACTTAGTGCTATTCTCTCCCCACCGACCATGGATCATAAAGTGCACAGACCATATCTCATCCCCAGGCACAGTGTGCGACATGCTGGAAGTGACCAGTGGATAACTGTAGAATTCTCTGGCTTGCACTCTGGTGCGAGTTTCTATGCATTATTTATTTATTTATTTTTACCTGAGAGAGAGAGAGGAAGGGAGAGGGAGAGAGAGAAAAAAACATCAATGAGAGAGAAACATTGATCAATTGCCTCCTGTACGTCCTCTACTGGGGATCGAGCCCATAACCCTGGTACCTGCCCTGACTGGGAATCGAACCTGCGACCACTTGTTGCATGGACAATGCTCAACCAACTGAGCTACACTGGCCAGGGCTCTATGCACTTTGGGGCATATTTAATCTATGGGTTTTATGTAGCTAGGATATTTTAAAATTAAACACCACCTAGAATGAACCAAGACACCTTGCTATTTAAAAGATGTCTATAGTGAACCTATCTATATATGTAAAAGGCTAATATGGTAAGTGTCCCTCTGACCATCCGTCTGGTCACTATGATGCACACTGACCACCAGGGGGCAGGCGCTCAACGCAGGAGCTGCTGTGACGTGCACTGGCCATTTACAAAGAAATGGCACCATGGACCTGGCGCTGACAAAGCAACACTCGGCTTCCCCCAAGTGGACACAGGCCCCGCCACCACCTCAGAGCGACAGCCTACCAAATCACAGCCAACGCTGCTGAGACCACATGGCGCAAAATGCGGCCCACAGCCCAGCCCAAAAATGGCTGTGGGTGCCGGGTAATGACATCATGCAGCAACACCCGGCTTCCTCTCCCTAGAAACTAGCCTCCTTGTAGTTTCTTCAGCTCAGGAACACGACTTGCTTTATAGCCAGGTGCAAACATTTTACACTTTAACCAAATGTCATCTCATTTGATCCTCACAGAAGTCCTGGAGTAGTAGGTAGATAGGAGACTCAGTAGAATCCTATTATCTTTACATTAGCCAGAAAATGGAGATTTAGAAAGTTTAGAAACTTGACTTGACTGAAAAGAAGTAAAAAATGGTGGAACTTGAAAATGAAGGTTTTCTCACTGTGCAGAATGTAGTCAAACACTGCTGCAGTTAAATGTTTTACCCTTTGTTCTCCCTGCGTGACCTACAATAATAATCTGCTTTGTGTTGATATTTACTGCTGTGTTGCTGATAGTTACCTGAAAGAGAAGTAGGGGGGCTTCACTGGGCTGGAAAAAGTTTAGCTAAATCAGAAAGCGGGTCTAATTAAGCAAGTTTATCTCTATATATAAAACTCTCACTGGTGCCAAACTGCATGCATGTGTTTCTATCTGGCATTGTCGATCATGACTTTGATTGACACCTCTATTATAGAGAAAGGGCAAATAACGATATTAAAATATTTCTTCTGGTTAATTTCCTCTCAATGTGCACGAATTTGTGCACCGGACCTCTAGTTTATAAAATAAATAACTACTCTTAATGTTTTCAAAACTTAAGATTGGATCTTCTTTCTACTTAAGTTATTGTGCTCTGGAATGTCATAAGCTGATGACTTGCGCTTGCATCTATGTGTCTGTCTTATTGAAGACACGTCCTGGGTCTTGCCCATAAGACTCTGGACATGGGGCTTGTCATGTTTCCCTCAGACTGGAAAATACCACGAAGAAGGGGCTCTGTCTGTTGGGGGCTCCCTGAAGGCACGGCCTGCATCTTCCCCCTCAGACTAGGAAGCTCCCTTAGAGAAGGGCTGCAGGGCAATACCCATCTCCTCTTCCTCCAAGTTTCATGATGCCACCTCCCCCCCCTTGCTGGGCCTTGCTCAACACACCATGTCTCCTCAGGTGTCCCCGCCGAGAGCGTGTACTCCAAAGTGCAGCATTTTGAAGGGGAGACTCTGTCTGTGCAGTGCTCCTACAAGAACCGCAAAAAACATGTGGAAGGCAAGGTTTGGTGCAAAATCAGGAGGAAGAAGTGTGAGCCTGGTTTTACCCGGGTCTGGGCGCCGGGGCCGCGCTACCTGCTACAGGACGATGCCCAGGCCAAGGTGGTCAACATCACCATGGTGGCCCTCAGGCGCCAGGACTCGGGCCGGTACTGGTGCATGCGCAACAGCTCCGGGATCCTCTACCCTCTGATGGGCTTCCAGCTGGAAGTGTCTCCAGGTGAGCAGGCCTTCTGGGGCACCAGGAGGGTGGGGGTGTCCCCCTTGCTCTGCCCTGCACTAACATCGGACGTACCAAGAGTATTAATCCATTAGTGGGCACACTGCACAGTAGGGCTCTCACAGTTCTTGACACATCTCCATTTTATAGACAAAGGAAATGAGATCTAAAAACTCCACTGTGACTCTGACCTTGTCTAAGGCAACAGAGCCAGCTAGTGGCAGAGATTCAAACTCAGGACTCTCTGTGCTTTGTTTTCTTCAGTTTAGTATATATTCATTGAGTCCTAATTATATGCTGGCCACTATTCTAGGCTCTGAGTATCCAACAGTGAGCAAGAACAGACACAATTCACTCAGCAGCCATAGCTCAATGGTTGAGCATTGACCTATGAACTAGATCACTGTGCGATTCCCAGTCAGGGCACATGCCCAGGTTTCAGACTCAGTCCCCAATAGGGAGCATGCAGGAGGCAGGCGATCAATAATTCTCTCATCATTGATGATTCTACCTCTCTCTTCCTTTCCCTTCCTCTCTGAAATCAATAACAAAATATTTTTTAAAAATTCTGTCCTGTGGGAGATGACAGGCAATAGTATATCATCAGACAATAATTGCAGATAACAGTAAATGTTCTTAAGAAAATAAAAGAATGTGATAAACCAGAAAGTAACTCAGTGGTGAGGGGACTTCAGCAGCTCCTCCCACCACTGAGTTACTTTCTGATTTATCACATTCTTTTATTTTGATGTATTTTGAGCAGATGACATCAAGAAGAGCCCTAAATGATGAGAGCTTTCTAACTCTGTTGAAATGGGGGTGCTCCAAAGGTCATTCCTGGCGGCGGGGGGGTGAGGGGTGGGGGTGGGGGGAGGGTGGGAGAGAATGCATGTGCAAAGGTCCCGGGGTGAGAAGGAGTGAGGGCTGTATAAGGCAGGCCTGCCTTATAGACAGGCCCATATTGATGTGGGGCAGAACGATAGGAGATGAGGTTGGAGAGTCAAACAGAAGCCCTGAAGTCCATGATGAAGGAGTTTTTTATTCTAAGTATGATAGCTACTGGAGAGCTTAGTGGCGTGTGTTGTGTGTGTCTTTAAGACAATACTGGCTGCTGTGTGGAGGATGGACTGTGGAAGGGTAAGAGCATGTGGGTGTCCTGGCTGGAAATGACAGTGTCCTGGAGTAGGATGTGGTCCCTGGAGATGGACAAAAGAGGAGGGGCTCAAATCGACGATGGTCAGACTCCTGCCCACCCTGTACGTTTTTTGAGGCAAGACAGGATTTGCTCATGTGGGAGGTGAGCAAAAGCGAAAAATCAATGATGACTACAAGGTGTTCCATTGCATCAGCAAGGTGGCTGGCGGGACTACGCACTGGGTAGGGGCGCTAGTTTGGAGGAGGAAAGTGAAGAGCTCTATTTTGTCACGTTACCATTAAGATACCTCCCGGGACCTCACATGGAGAAATGAAGCAGGCAGTTGATGTATGTGCCTGAAGCTCAGGTGAGAGGCTGGGAAGTGTCTCTGTAAAGACAGTTTAAAGTCAAGGGGATTAGAGAAATCTATAGAGACAGGAAGTAGGTTGGTGGATGCTTAAGGCTGAGGGATAACGGCTACAGGGTGGGGGGTTTCTTTTTGAGATGATGAAACTTCTAAAATTGACTGTGGTTATACTAAAAATATAACCACATGCATGACTGTGAGCATACTAAAAATCGTTGAAATTGACACCATAAATGGATGTGTTACATGAGATGTAAATTATATCTCAATAAAGTTCTTAGAAACTTAAGGAGATATAAAAGCTCTCCCTTGAGTGTAGAAAACGAAGAGAGGAGAACCAAGGACCTAGTCCCAAGGTCCTCCCATGTTTGTATGTAGGAGAGGGTGAGGGGCCAGTGAAAGAGTCAGGAAAAACAGGCAAGGATGATAGAATTCATTGCCCACCCTTCCCTGTTCCCTGACCCACCTGCATCCCCATCTTCTGTTGGGTCTGAACTGGGGACCCTACTGTCTCTCAGATGTGGATCCCCATCTCACTCCTCCTCTCTCTAGTTCTAACTTAGACTCAGGGAAGTGGCTGAAACCAGTTTACTGAAGTCTCAATTTATAGAGATACAAACACGAAATAGTTTTACTTTTCTCAGCATATCCTTCCCTCCCCCACCATTGTACTATGTCAAATCTCAATTTGCATCTCTTAATGACAATTTTTGGGAGATTCTAGCTATGCATTTCTTTCCAGTCATTAGCAAATAAAAAATCCTCAGCCCAATTAAAACTAGAATCTTCTAGCAATATATGCGCTCTTCTACTCCCCTGTGAAGACAGGTTTCATGGGCCAGGGCACCTGAAATGGGGGAAGGGGAGTAGCTTGCTGCCTGTCTTTCTCCTTCCTCTCTGGAGGTGGGGAAGGGGGTTCCTCTTAGTCACCTTTTCCTGGTCTTCCCCCTGCCAACTCCTTGGGGCAGGAACAAAGGCTGTGACTTCACTGACCCTGTTAGAGTGTTGGATGCCACTCCTTTTCTGCCCAACCGTTGAGAGCCTCTATGAAGTGAGTGTCCACATGCTGGCTCTCCCAGGGCACTTAATGTGAGTCCTTTGAGGGTCTGCCCACTGCTGAGCAGGATGATGTGGGAGAGCTGGCTCCAGGTCAGCCCTTCCTCTATGCCCACCCTCACCAATGCCGCTTACTCTGGGTTACCTTGCCCAGAAAAAAGGGCATCTTCTGTGAGGACCACCTGGCCCGCAGGAACGCATCCTTGTCAGGCACAATTGTGGGATGCAGCAGCCCTCTCTGTCCCCTGACATCTCTCTCCATGTTTCTTGTTCCCTACAGAGGAAGACCCAACACTGCCCCCTAGAATTGCACTCCAGCATTACAAGTCTCTTCTCCCCACCATCCAAATGCCAACCTTACTGTCAATGTTCCTCTAGAAAACGGGAGGGTAAGGGGCTGGGTTGATGGATGAGGGTAGTGTGACTGGTGTCCCTAGAAAGCCCCCAAGGGAGGTGTCTGACCCGCCTCTTGCATCGTCCTTTGGAATCTAGGCCTCCGATGCTTCCTGTCCTCGCCTCTGGATCCAGTCACCCATGATGGAGCACTGGACAGACCCTGTCCAAGGTCATAGCAGAGGAATCTCTTTGATCCGCAGAAATGAGGAGGGCCTAGAAGTGACATGCAGAGGGGCGTGGGGAGAGGCGAGTCCTCTGGGCCCCAGAGGCCTGGCAGGGAGGCTGAAGAAACTGAAAGTCTCTTCCTTCTCTACTGGGCCTACTTCCTCCTCACATCACCCTCCGAGGAAACACACCTGGTCACTCAGCAGAGCAGACCCTAGGCCCCAGGTCAGGAGGGGAGACAGGACAGGCCTCGCCCCGGCACCCAGGCAGCCGTGTGGGCTGCCGGGATCTGCTCCCAGCACCGGGCCCCTAACTCGTCTAACGTTCCTCCCTGTCTGGTCCTCAGTCCCCACAGCCGAGAGAAGCACTCCTCTCACCCAGCTGGCCGACATCCTCAAGAGTGGCGTTGTGGTCACAACGGGCCATGCCCCGACCTCAGGCCCGGAGGCCCCCTTCACCACCAGCGTGACGATGCTCACAACCGGAGTCCTCACCCTGGCCAGACTCGTGCCCTCCCCGGCCTCGGGGACCATCAGGCTGAGTTCCGTGACAGGCTACAGCTTCACCAGCCCCTCCACCGCTGGGCCCACGAGGAACAAGGCCCAGACGGTGACCGTGTCTCCCAGCAATGCCAGAGCCGCCTCTGCGGCCCCCACATCCGTCTCCACCGAGGCCTGGCCGCTGCGCACCACATCGCCCACCATGAGAACCTGCCGCACCAGCAGGTCGCTCCTCAACAAATTATCGCCCATCAGGTACCCTGGGCCAGGGGCTGAGTGACAGGCTACCAGGCATGGCAACAGTTCTTGGTGCCTGAACACCTCACGGTGCACAGGTCACAGCCAGCCTCCACGCCTTCCTGAAGTTCGGGCTGGCTTGTTGGATGGGAGGTGGGAGCCTGGGAGCTGATATGGAGAAGGGACACAGGACATAGAGTAGGGCCGTGGGGAATGAGGGCAGGGGAGGGGTCAGCACAAGGCTTTGTGGATGCAGAGGGTGGGGACAGGGCAAGGAGGTGGCTCCGGGAGTGGGAAATGGGGATGCTTTCATCTGGGTTCCCCGGAAGCGGACTCTGAGACCAGGACGTGGGGAGAGCACGGGGAAGTGAGATGGAGGGGACCGCGGCTGCAGAGGCTGAGCCAGGGCGGTCTCTGTGGGCAGCAGAGCTGGGTTCCACTGGGAACTCTGGGCACCAGAGTCCAGCAGCCACCTGGGGTGCCAGGGAGCTGGCGTGTTTATATTCCCGCTTCTGTTGGTCATTGGTAGAATGCTGCCAGCCATGTGTGGCATGGAGGGCGCCAGTGGCAAGAGAAAGTCCTCCAGCTAAAAAAAGTAAAGTAAATGGAGGTGCTGTGGGCGGTGTACATGGAAGTGACATGGCCAGGAACACAGACCGGGCCCCTCCAGCCTCTGACGCAGAGGGGGTGGGGGTGGGAGTGGGGGGTGGGGTGGCACCAGCACCTCTGTCACCATGAGGAGAGTAAGAGCCCTGGTCCCTCTGTCACCAGTGTGGTCTCTGAGAGTCCTGTCCTCACCATGAGCAGATTTGGGGGGAGATGGAGGGGAGTGCTAAAGTGAAGAGATGCTCCCTCCACCTGGGACGTCCTCCCCTGACCCCTAGTGCCTCACTGCCTTCTCCCGCAGCTGGGTCCCCAAGGAAGAGAGGCCACAACTCCCCTCAGCTGTCAGGGTTCCCCTCTCGTGTGTGTGTGTGTGCATGTGTGTGCGTGTGCATGTGTGTGTAAGTGTGTGTTGTGTGTGTAAAGATGTGGCTGGGGGGGGGGCTGAGGAAGGGGGTGGGGGACCTGGTGCTCACGTCCTGCTCCCTCCCATCCCCTCAGGCCCCGGGATGCTAACCCCACTGTGCTGGCGGGGGTGCTGTCCTTGCTCTCGGTGCCTGTGATGATGATCGCGGTCTATGGCTTCTGGAAGAAGAGACACGTGGGCAGTGAGTAGAGCCCCTGCTCCTGGCCTCCCAGGGCAGTGGGTCCCAGGCAGTGTGTCCTCGCCTGTGCCCCAGGGGGGCTGCGGGGCACCAGATGAGGGAGGGTGGGCAGGCGGGGACAGTGCAGCATCCCCTCTGGCTGACCTGGCGGCAGTGGGGGCAGGGCCAAGAGAGGGGGGTCCAGCCCAGGAGCCTGCCCCTCATCCCTCTCCATCCTCACAGGCTACAGCATCTGCAGGAGCCCTGCTAGGCCCTGGAGGGACCCCCCTGGAAGGCTGGAGCCTCCGTGGAAGCCTGCGTGGTTTAAGGCCACTTACGGAGTCGGGGAGCTCTTCCCCGAGGGAGCCCAGGAGGTCACAGAAGTGAAGATGGGGACCTGTCTGGATTGGAGCCAGGTTGGGGGGTGAGGATTTGTGCACGAATGGGCTCAGACCTCCTAACCCGAGGCTGCTCCTCACCCGCCCAGTCCCTGGCTGCCAGGAGCCTGGGGAGAGGCCCCCAAGAGGGTACTTCACAGGAAGCCAGGAAGCCCCTGACGGAATCTGCTCAGAGTCCGGCCCCAGCTGCCTGGTGCTGTTTACAGACAAAGCCTCAGCACCCACGGCCTCTGGACCCCTGCTGTCCAGCAGAGGGGAGCGGGGCGAGATGGACAACAGACCTCTCCCCACCGGGACCCTGTGTCCTCAGCTGCCTTCTGCTCCCCTCCAGCTTCCCCATGAACTTGGGGAAGAAAGTCACAGAGGCAGTGGGGTCCCAGCGGCCCCCCTGGAGGAGGAGGAGAAAGTGACTAAGAGCTGAGGGTCCCAGAGGCATGGCAGCAGGGGCCCCAGAGCTGTCCAGCCCGGCCCTCCGGCCATGTACCCTCCGACTGACCTCCCATGTGTGCTGGCCAGGCTGCTGGTCCTTCAAGTCCTGGGAGCCAGCAGACCCCACCCTCTCACCGCTGCCACCTGCTGGCCAGCCCCTCCTGGGACAGGTGTGAAGGGCAGCTGAGAGCCCCCCTCAGCAGCAGGACCAGCCTGACCCCAGACTGGGGTGCAGAGGCTGAAGTCAAGACTGTCTCCCCAATCCCACCTGGGCTCCAGGTCTGAGCTCTGAAGGCCCTTCAGAGTCCCCTGAAGGGGGGCCACAGCTCAGTGAGGGGGGATTGCCACCCCCAACACCCTCCCTCCCAGGGTGTCCTCCCCTGGGGAGAGAGGAGCCACTGTGACACAGGGAGACAGATCAGAGCTCCCACAGCACAGGACTGCCTGGTGGGGGTGGGCGGGGCCAATGGGGCAGATGCAGCCCAGGAGCTGCAAGAGGGGCTGGCTGGCAGTTGGCAGCCAGCAAGTGCCCCTGCCTCACAGGCTCCTGGCTCTGACCTGGCCCCTCCTGCAGGGAAGGCTGGAGAATCCGGCTGCATTTGTCCCCTGAAGAGGGGTCTGCAGCCTGGACGGGCTGGGGAACACGTGGGTCTAGATGCGGCATCTCTACTCGGCCCTGCGACAGGGACCTCCCAGGAGGGAGAGCAAAGGTCATGGTCAGGAGACCAACACAGCCAGGGCCTTAGTGGGGCCACTCCAAGATGGATATGAGGAGAGAAGGGAACTGGGGTAATCCTATGGACCATAGGGAGGAGGCACCTCTTCTCTGTGTCCAGGAGAGGGCGCCAGAGGGGAGACTCAAGTTGAACTGGCTGGCCTGGTGCTCACACACACACACACACACACACACACACACACACACACACTGACATCTGTCCTCCCCACCAGGAAGGTGTGGCTGCCACCTGCTATGCAACTTGGAGGGAGTTGAACTCACCTGGGGAAAACGGGTCCCCCGCAGCTCCCCTCCATGGAGGCCTGACAGCAGCCAGACTGCCCTGTCTCCTTGGAGGGCAGGCTGTCCCGGGGAGAGCGCTGCACAGGGCTCAGGAGCGGGACCAGGGACCTGGGCTGCCACCTGTCCCGTGTGACCCTGTGCAGGTCACTAACCCTCCCGGGCCTCAGTTTTCCTCTCCTGTGAAGGGGACACTCATTCCTACCTCAAGACTTTTCAGAATAAAATGAAAGAACATGAAATTATGTAACTGAGCACGTGTGTTGTGGTTGCTGGCCCTCAAGTTCTTTTCAAGTTATAATACTGTGTGTCATATTCTATGTTTTCAAAGCCTGCTGGTCCCCACTTCTCTGTTTTGTCCTGGATTGTAAGGGGAAAGGGAGGGCGGAGGGGTCATGGTCCCCAGGTGGCGGGTGCAGGACCCAGGTAGAGGCCAGGGTGTGCCCTAGTGTCAGGCAGGGTGGCCACCGTCCCTGCTTGCCCACGATCAGGGCTCCTTGGCCAGGCAGACCCGCACACACTGCCCATCCATAGAGCCTGTTCCCACATGACCCCGTGGCAAGGAAGGACCCAGCACCTAGAGGAGGTCACACCGGCCCCGGGTTCCCAGCTGCCCGGGTCTTGGTGGCCTCGTTGGAGCTCCAGGCTCTGGGACATCCTCCCCCAGGTCCCAGCATCTCACTTCTGTCTCCCTGTCCCACCCTTGTCCCTGAGCTCTAGGGGACCAGATCCCAGCAGATCCAGGGCAGGGGTACAGGGAGGGCCGGGTGTCAGGCAGTCCAAAGCCATGGCTGCCTCTGGGGGTAAGAACCGAGGGGCTGAGACAGGGTGTCCTGTGGAGGGTGACCTGTGGTGGCCAGGGGAAGGATGGACAAGCCCCGGCACCCCTGGCACATTCAGATAATTGAATTGAGGAGCCAGCAGTCAAGCTCGAGGCTCCCAGCTCTTGCAACTGCTGCTCACCATGGTTTCCCTCTGGGTCAGGCAGTTGGTGGGGGTTCAGCTGCCCCCCCAGTCCTGTAGGGCTGATGGATTCACCCCAGTGCTGTGAGCAGGGAGGGTGGAAGGCCCTCCCGAGGTGACCCCTCCCATGGCCACCCACGCCCCTGCATGGGAAGCAGGGGACTAAGGTCCCGAGGGGCAGCCTGTCCTCTGAGGGTGGCCAGAGCTTCCTGGTGGCCGAGGGCTGCTCCCGCCCTTGCCTCCCAGCCTGGTCCCAGCACTGTGCCCCTCCCACACCCACCCTCCCCACCCCCCACCCCCCTCACCCCCCACCCCCCCGTACCCCCCGCCAGTCTCTACCTCGGGAGTCTGCCCCTGCCAGCCCCGCTGGCCACACTGCGCGTGTGCAGGGCTCTCTGACCTGGTTGTCTGTCTAGTGACTATAAGCAGCCGTGACAATTATTTTCCTGTAGCTCCTCTAATGACAGATTCTTTTCTTTTATATTTTAACTAGTGGCCCGGTGCACGAAATTTGTGCACAGAGGGGGGGGGTTCCCTCAGCTCAGTCTGCAACCTCTCCAATCCGGGACATCCCTCTCACAATCTGGAACCACTGGCTCCTAACCACTCACTTGCCTACCTGCCTGATTGCCCCTAACTGCCCTCCCCTGCCAGCCTGATCTTGCCCCCAACTGCCTTCCTCTGCAGGCCCGATCTCGCCCCCAACTGCCCTCCTCTGTTGGCCAATTTGGTTCTGATTGGTCGGTTTCTATCTCTGCCTGCCTGATCGCCCCTAACTGCCCTCCCCTGCAGGTATAATGGGTACCTGGGGAAGGTGTGTGCTATTACTGGCTAGTGGGTCAAGGGTTAAACAGTTGGTGAGGAGATCAGGCTGGCAGGGGAGAGCAGTTGGGGGCTTCCCCTTATCCTGCTAGTGTTCCTGGCCTCTGTTGAGGGCAGAGGGGAGGGGAAGAACAAGTCAGCGTCAAAAGCTCTGCTTCTAAGGCAGCCATTGGCTCCTCACAGTTCACCCAGATTTGGTTCTAATTGGTCAGTTTCTATGCAGTCAGCGTCTCTGGGCCTATCAACGGGGCCTGATCAGAAAGGCAGGGCTGATTAGCAGCCCCAGTGGAGGCCTTGAGAAAAATGGAGGTGCAGCTGCTGGCCCTGCTGAGAGAGAAAGAGAGAGGCAAGTGCTGATCAACAGCTGCCACACAGGCTACAGATCAGACCCTGCTTCTCTCTTCAGGCCTCTCTCCAGGCCTGATTCGCAGCCCCCTCAGCACCCAGGCTGACTGCAGGACTGACTTCTGGTTGGTCGAGCCTTCGGTTATGATGGACCTAGGGTTTTTATATATTAGGATTTTTATTTTTCAGTTCCAGTTTGCATTCTGTGTGATTTTGTGTTGCTTTCAGGTGTACATCATAGAGGTGGACAGTCACATACTTTACAAAGTGGTCCCCCAGCATGTCAGTGCCCCCTGGCACCACACCCAGTTACTACAATATTGTTGGCGAGGTGCCCTATTAGTCACAGGGATGTAACATACAAATTATGTTCTAAAAGCGCTTGGTTAGTATGGTCTTTTAGCAAATGCTTAAGGAGTGATGATAATGGCGGCTGGGAGCTGGGGACACAGAGGGCAGAGACCCCCTTTCTGCCCCCTCCTCCCCTCCTCCCTCACCCATCTCCCGGCCCCCCTGCCCCCACCCACCCACAAAGTCTGCTTTGCTGTCCCACTCTTGCCAGGGACCTGCCCTGCACCTCCTCCCCTGGAAATGACTCCCCACCTCCTCCTGCCCCTCCAGTCCCCACAGGACACCCCAATTCCCAGCAGCCTGGGCAGGAGGCCTCTGAGCACTGGGGACTCCAGAGGACCCCCTGCCTCCATCACTCACCCTCAGCCCTGCTTTTCTTGGTGGCGAGGAGAAAGGTGAGGCGGAGAAGGAAGTGGTGGGACAGAGAGTACTAGGGAGGAGGAATGGCTTCTTATTTCACCATCGTTTCCTCTGGGGTTTTCACCCATTTCCCCACGCCCGTGGGAGGGAGCAGCGGGCAGGCTTGGCCCAGAGAGCCCCATCCTGGCCCAGAGGCAGTGGGACAGGGGCAGGTCCTCCGTAGGCTTAGGCCTCCCCTCTTCTCGGCCCTCCTCCCCGCTGCAGTCTTTGCCTTCCTCAGCTCTTCTTCCCAGACAGGCTGGGTGGCTGCTGACCCCGCCAGCTCTGGCACCCTCTCCTCAGGGCGGCCGCTGCCACCCAGCTCAGACAGAAGGCCATGGCCTGGGAGGCCGCGCACCTGCTGCCCCTTGTCCTGCTGGTGCTCCTGGCCTCAGGTGAGGGCAGAGGTGAGGGAAGGGGAGGAGGGATGCTAGTGAGGTGGCCTGAGGGGCGTGGGGAGGAGGGTAGAGGCTGGAGGGGGGGCGGGGAATGGGGGGCACTGAGTGTAGCAGAGAGGACTTCCTGAGGAGGGGGCCCCTCTCAGCTCTGAGGCAGGCAAGGGGCTCCCTGACCTGAGGGTTTATTCTCAGGCTCCTGGGAACAGCAGCCACTGCTGCTGCGGATACTGGAAGGGGAAGAAGTCTCCATAAGGTGCAATTATCCAGGCCAGCAAGGTTGGAAGACGAAAACCTGGTGCAAAGTAATATCAGCAGGAACTTGTACCTTATTAGTCACCAGTCCCAGTCTTGGCCGGGGGCCTGGAAACCCACGATATGTCATCAGAAATTACCCCCGACAGGGGTACTTCACCGTCACCATGACTGCGCTGAGAGAGGACTCGGGCTTGTATTGGTGTGGATTCTATGAATTTTCCAAGGTCGACATTCTCAGGACCATCCGTCTGGCGGTCTCTCGGGGTGAGTCCTTCCTTCTGTGTGTGCTTCTCAGGGTCCCTGAACCACAGGAAGCTGATGCTGGAAAGGACCTAGTCAGGTCCCCCAGCCCTCGTGGCTGAACCCCGGGCCCTTCCCTAGGTCGCTGCTGGTTACAGGCAGAACCAGCGCCAGAACTCAGACTGCCATCTTAGATCGGTTCTCCCTTCCCCAGCGCACACACTTTTCTGAACACTTGTTGTTGCTCACAGGGCTCCCTGCTGACTCCTACCCATCACCGAGCTGCCTCAGGCTTGGGCAAGCCTGGCTTATGGGTCCATTCCGGGCACCCCTCCCCCTGACCCTAATCCCACCTTCTCTTCAAGGGCTGTGCTTGAGGCGGGTCACAGGTCACTGTGTGGGCTCAGGGAATGCGGACAGGCAGGGGACAGCCACAGTGAGCAGACGTGGGATTTGGGGTGAGGCTGGCAGCTGCAGGGGCCAAGGGCTCAGAGGGCCTGGATCCCACCCTGCACTCGCCCCTGATACTTGAGTGATCTTCAGCCTCAGCTTGGGAAGCTTGAGGCTCCTCCTAACTCCGGGCCCCTCTCCCATATGCCTCCTGAAAGCTTCAGAGGTGCAAAGGCCCCCTACATTTCCCGGTGATGGTCAAGGGTTAAACAGAACCTTCGAGACCCCCGCCTGGCTGCTGAGCCTGCCCCGCTGTTCGGTCAACTGGGGGCCTGGCACACACAGCAGCTGCTCGGTCATTCTCGGCCCCGGCCTGGGCTCATTGCCCACTGCATGTCGGGCACGGGGCTACGCCCTGGAAGGGGATTGGAACCCTGAGACATATAAATAAAAGGCTATGATGCAGGGTGTGGGTGGCGTAATGGAGGCCTGTAGGATGGAGGCCCAGAGGAGGGAGGGGCCAGGTTGCTGGTGAGGCCAGGAGTATGGACTTGCCTGCAGGACTTCCCAGAGGAGGTGGCACTACAGGGGCCTGTTTGGATGAGCAGGAATTTATCCAGGGGAGGGAAAAGTGTTTGGAGGGGAGGAGGGCGGTATTGCAGGTTGAACATGCATGACACGCTAAAAAACAATGGAAACAGAGGAGACCGTAGAATACAGCCAGCATACAAGCGACAGCATGACGTCTCCTCTACAGCCGCTTCCCTGAGGGCATTGCCCGCCTCCATGCCTTCGCAGGGCATGCGGTGCTTCTCAGGCCTCGCTTGGTCCAGGCCATGCGTGGGATCCTCCCGCCCAGGGCTGGGCTGGAAGGCTGAACCCTGGAGTGTGGGGCAAACAGAGAGGAGTGCTCCCCTCACTGTAGTCTCTCACAGCTCCAACCCCGTCCACCGCCAGGACCACCAGGACCACCGGGACCACCAGGACCACCAGGACCACAGCCGGGACCTTAGCCATCAGCCCTGTCATTGACAGGTACTGCCCCCCCTTCCTGTCCTCTTACACCTCCGTTGCCTCCCATCCATTGCCAGCCGTGCCAGATACCTCCAACTACACATTGCCATGGACAGCTGGCTCTCAGGGGGATTAAATGGGACCCTTTTCAGGTCACTTTACCTCTTTGAGCCTCAGTTTTCTCATCTGCAAAATGCAGTCAGTAACCTTCCCACCATACGACAGGGTTTGCTGCCTTTGCTACTATTAATATTTGGGGCCAGACAATTCTTTGTTGGGAGGGGCTGTCCTGTGCATCCCTGGCCTCTACCCACTAGCCCATAATAGCACACACCTCCCCCAGGTACCCATTGTACCTAGTACCCAGGCAACCGAAAATGTCTCCAGACATTGGCAAGTTAGCCTCTGGGGTCACAAAGGACCCAGTGCCTGGCCGGCTCCTTTTCCCTTTTCCCTGCTCCAGCCCGTCTCCTCCTTTCAAGGGAGCCACAGGGTCCAGGCAAAGGCTCATCGCAGTGACCACAGCCCATGGCCTGACTCCTCTACCTCTGTCGCATGGTTCCCAGGCATCCGCCCCCCCCCCCCCCACCGCACTGCGACTGGCCTGAGGGCTGGTTTTCTTCCCACCTCTGTCAGCCCACCCTCTCTCCACCCTCTGTCATGCAAATCCTGAGCCCCTGCGAACTCCAGTTTCTTCTCCAAGGCATTGCACCAGAAACTAAGGGTGCTGGTCAGTGCAGCTGAGTGGTCGGTGTCCCCAGAGCTGCTGCCTCGCCCCACGACACCTGACACGCCAGGCACCTTCGCTGGGAGCCTGCTGTGTTGTGAGAAAGTCTATCTTTTCTTCCTCTGAAGACAGGGCCTATGAGAATGCGTTTATTGTGTACAGAGGTCTTTGTCAAAGGACACCCATATTCTCCGAGAGCTGACTGCATCTCTCAGCCAAGGGCTGAGGGTGAGGGGCTGGGACCAAGAGCAGTTGAGAGAAGATGCCGGAGAGGTGAGCACAGATCCCAAGACAGGGGCCCCGAAGGCCAGATAGGGGACAGCACGCAGTCAGAGCAAACCTGCTTACAGAGGAGGAAGGAAACACGCCCAGAGGCGGACGAGGCAGAGACCTTGGCCTGGGGCTGTCTCCTGGCCAGCTCAGCAGGAGCGTCCAGACCACAGGCTTGGGGAGGGATGAGTTCCCCGCAGCAGCCTGGCTCCTTTTTGCCTCACCTGGCTGGTCCTTGTTCCCAAGCCCCCCAGGCCACAGCAATGTCATCCTCAGCGTGATGGTGGTGCTCCTGCTGCTGGTGGTGCTGGCCCTCCTGGTGATCCTGTACTTCTGGCAACGGCGACGAGCCAGGGCAGGTAAACCCGCTGGGGCTGAGCACACCGCCCAGTGCTTGCCCGCGAGCCGGGAGACAGGCTCATGCCCCGTTACCAACGAGGTAACAGGCTGAGAGGCCAGCGCCAACTTGCCTACCGCTGGGTATTCTAGTGTCCATTTGAGACGAGATATTTTATCATCATTTTGTAGTTCAGGATTTTAAAACAAATTGATCTGAAGGCCTTCTGGTTTGTGGCATTGTGTTTTTCATCGTCGCTATCACATTTAAACATCGCCTTCCTAAAAGCACTTGGAGCGCTTTTTAGTCTCCAAGTTCTAAGTTTCAGCATTGAGCACGTGTAAAATCTACAGCATTTTGTGCAGGATGATTGTCCCCGTGCCCTTTGTTGATTCCTACCTTGCTTTTTGTTGGTTTGTTCAGCACATTCATGCTGTGTTTAGTAACCACATACCCAGTGATGTGTCTGTGGACCTAGAATTGATCAAGTTTACTGGTTTGATGCAAATTAGACGCAGACAGCCAATCGGACTTGCTCCCTAGTTTAGCACTAACGTCTGCTTTCTGGCACTGATCTGTGCTGGCCGCCCGGGACTTCCTGCAGGATGGCACTTCCCAGCCAAGCCCAACCTCTCCCCCGTCAGGCAGGGTCCCTTCTACCCAGCCAGGTCCTCCAGTGTCACCCGAATTGCCAGGAGAGAGGTAGAGAGAGGTCTCTCCTTTAAACCTGTTTTTTCACAGGTGAGGGCAAAGCCCATCACATCCATGGCATTTCCACCCATGAGGATGAGACTGTGCATCGGACGGATCCCCCCGCACGTCAGAGGGACTCTCAGCTTTCCTGGGTATCTCTGTTTTCATTATTGTTCTTTTTTAATTTTTATTGATCTTAGAGTGAGAGAAAGGGAGAAGGATAGAGAGATAGAAACATTGATGAAAAACATCTATCGGCTGCCTCCTGCACGCCCTCTACTGGGGATCGAGCCCACAACCCAGGCATGTGCCCTGACCAGGAATAGAACTGGTGACCTCTTGGTTCATGGGTTGACATTCAACCACTGAGCCACACCGGCTGAGCTGCTGCCACTCCTTCTCTTCCTCTTCCTCCTCCTCCTCCTCCTCCTCCTTTTTTTTCTTCTTCTTCCAACTTCCTGGCTTCTGTTTACTTACAGTTTCTGGACTCACTTGTGACTGGTCATGCCCCTAATGCCTTGTCTATGCATGTTCTTTCCCCAAATTTCCCAATTCAAACTCCTCAGAGTGGGAGGGAGAAGCTGACTGACCAAGCTTCCCTCTGTGGGAGACAGCTTTTAATGCCAACTTATCTGCTGGGTCATGACGGCCAGTGGCTCAGCCACTCTGGGTCCCACCCCCGGAGACTTTGGGTTAATAGATCTGGGTGGAGACTGAGATGGCACTGCTGGCCCTCTGATTGGACTGCACTCTGTGTAGCCTTCCTTATTCTTTTCTTTTCTCTTTTCTTCTTTTATATCTATATTGTTGAGAGCATTACAGGTGTCCCCCTTTTTCCACCCATTGCCTCCCTCCACCTGTTCCCACCCTGCCCCAGGCCTTTGCCACCCTATTGCCTGTGTCCATAGTAAATCATATCTGCATGTAAATTTTTTGGTTAATCTCTCCCCACCACCCCCCTTCCCTCTGAGATTTGTCAGACTATTCCATGTTTCATGGCTCTGGTTCTATCTTATTCCTCAGTTTATTTCGTTCATTAGATTACTTGTTTCTTTTGATTTTTAGATTCAGTTGTTGACAGGTATGTAGTTATTGCGATTTTTGTTCATATTTCTTCTTCTTCCTCCTCCTCCTCTTCATCCTCCTCCTCATCTTAAAGAATACCCATTCACATTTCATGTAATACTGGTTTGTTGGTGATGAATTCCTTTAGCTTTTTCTTGTCTGTGAAGCTCTTTATCTGACCCTCAATTCTAAATGACAGCTTTGCTGGGTAGAGTAATCTTGGTTGTAAGTCCTTACTATTCATCACTTTGAATTTTTCTTGTCTGCAAAGTTTCTGTTGAGAAAGAAGCTGACAGTCATATGGGCACTCCCTTGTAGGTAACTATCTGCTTTTAGAATTCTCTCTTTGTCTTTAATCTTTACCTTTTAATTATGATGTATCTTGGTGTGGGCCTCTTTTGGGTTCCTCTTGTTTGGGACTCTCGGCGCTTCCTGGACTTGCAAGACTATTTCACCAGATAGAGGAAGTTTTTTGTCATTATTTCTTCAGATAGTTTTTCAATATCTTGCTCTCTCTCTTCTCCTTCTGGCATCCACCATAATGAGGATGTTGGTATGCTGAAGTTGTCCCAAAGGCTCCTTACACTATCTTCATATTTTTGGATTCTTTTTTCTTTTTGCTCTTCTGACTGGGTATTTCTTGCTTCCTAATATTCCAAGTCACTGATTTGATTCTCAGTGTCCTCTACTCTATTGTTGAATCCCTGTGAATTATTATTTATTTCAGTTAGTGCAGGCTTAATTTCTGACTGGTCCTTTTTCATGTTTTTTTTTTTATGTTCTCACTAAGGTTCTTGAAATTCTCATTTAGATTCTTGAAATTATCAAGTTTCTAGAAGCTCTCATTTAGATCCTTGAGCATCTTTATAACCATTGTTTTGAACTCTGTATCTAGTAGTTTGTTTGATTCCATTTCATTTAGTGTTTGTTTGTTTGTTTGTTTGTTTCTGGAGATTTATTTTGTTCTTTATTTATGAGATGTTTCTTTGTTTCTGCATTTTGGCAGCTTCTCTGTGTTTGTCCTATGTATTAGGTAGAGCTGCTATGTCTCCTGGAATTGGTAGAGTGGCCTTGTGTAGTAGGTGTCCTGTAGGGCCCAGTGGCTCAGTCTCCCCAGTCATCTGTGCTGGGCATTCGAGGTGCACCCCTGTGTGGGCTGTGTGCATAGTCTTGTTATAGTTGAGCCTTGACTGCTCTTGGCGTTGCTGAGAGGAATTGACTTCCAGGCCAATTGGCTGCAAAGACCCACTGTGACTACAGCAGAAGAGCTGCTGTGCAGGAGACACCCCTATGGAGCAGGACTTGCTTCAGTGGGGCTTTGGTGTTCACTGAGTCTGCCCCTTAATGTGTCACTCATGGGTGTGTAGAGTTGTAGTCTGTTGTGGTCTGAAAATGTCCACTGGGTACACTGGCTCTGGGGCCTCAGGAGGTGCAAAGTCAGCCACTGCTTGCCTTCCCCACCCCCCCACTCCCCACGGCCCCCAGGAACTACAGAGTGATCTGCAGATAGCTGCTACTTGTGTTGAGCTTGGAAGTAGCCAGGAGAGGCCAAGCTGTGAAGCAAGACAGGCTGCTGCTAGTGCCTGGTCTTGGGCCTCTTATTGATAAATATGAGGCATGCTGACACCAACTGCTGATTGTTTGAGAGATTTTAGGATAGCCTGAGCCAGGACAGGTCAATCATATGGAAAAGAAGCTGCAAACAGCTTGAGTAGGGTGGCAAATTGGATGAGGCAGGGTCTCAAGGAATCACCAGGATGGAGCAAACAGTGTAAATCAGGTTGATGGAGACTCAGATGTGGTTGCTAGTCAGCTCTGTGACCGTGGAGGTCTCAGCATAGGAACAATGAACCTTGTGAGCACCCCTATCTGGGAGAAAGCTACCCCCGAGTTCTTGCTCCAATGCCAGACAATTCAGTTTCTCTCTGTATGTCCCTGGATCCCCCCTAAGCCATTACCTGAGCACTGGAGTGCAGAGGGAGCAAGTCCAAGCAATTCATGCACTGGCCCTTTAAGAGGGACTCCAGCAGCTTCCGTATCACTCAGCCACAATCCCCACTGGTTTTTATAGCCCAAAATTAAGGAGACTTCTCCTCCCGGCACTGAAAACCTGAGCTGAAGGGTCTGGTGTGAGGCTTCTCACAAGAGGCCTCCACAGCCAAGATATCCCTCCCGATTAAAAACACGCTGGTGTCTGTTGAACCAGCCTGTTCTACACCTCCGCCCCTCCTACCAGACTCAATGTGCTTTCTTCTTTACTTCTCTAATTGTAGGACTTCCAGCACCCAGCTTTCTGGGGTTCTGAATGATGGCCGCTCTGTATTTTCGTTATAATTGTGATGTGGTTGTGGGAGGCTGCGAGTACCATGTTTACCTACATCTTGGTTCTTCACCTTCCTTATTCTAATCATGTTCAGTCAAGGTGTCCTTGCTGCCTCTGCCATTGCCAGAGTTCCTGCCGGACCCACACCCTGTCCCATACCTTGTCCCTGTCCCTATCCTCGGCACAGCTCTGGACACCCGGGGGCCCCTGACCACTCCCCGCCGTGACCCATACAGTGGACATCTGTCTGTCTTTGATCCCCAGGGCTCCGACCAGCAGCTAGGCTCCGGCAAGGACACTGGGGACATCCACTACGCCTCATTTACCCGCCTGGACCCCTTCGGCCTCGAGGACCCCATCTACATCAACACCCGCCCCGGCCTGAGGCCCACACCTGACCCATTTCTGGCTGTGGAATATGCCAGCATCGCTAAAAACTGAGCCCTGCGCCCCAGCCGACTGCCCAGGAGGAGCCCAGGATCAGCAGGCAGAAGTCACTTCGCAGTGAGCACCTGTGTGAGGCACAGGGCTGCTCTCCCAGGGACGGGCGACTTCTTGTGGCCGAGACGGTCCCAAACCATCAGGGGCCATCCCTTCCTGCAGAGGAGATGAGGAAGGGGGAGCAAAGGAAGAAAAGCCTTCTCACCCAGAGGAGAGAAGCTTTGAGTCTGAGGGCTGCGGGGCAGGCGTGGACCAAGGGGTTTCTGGATACCTGCCCACTCCCCTCTGACTGGAGAGGGTCTGGGGCACAGTGCTTCTGAGTAACCCAATCTTCACCCCCCTCTCTGGTCTCACTTCCTTCCTGACCAGGCTGTGAAATGCTAACGGTTAGGAAAGTTCCTCTGCTGGAGACTGTCCCCGTGAGAGCCCCTCCCTTAACTGTCCTCTCAGGGCCTCCAGGCCAGGCTGGAAAGTTCTATCTGCCACCCCAGCTCCTCTCCTCCTTCTTGGCCTCCTGATTCTAATCCATCCTCATGCACGGCCCTGCCAGGACAGTGCCCACTGCTCAGGGGTCCCGCTCAGCCTTGCCCTTGCCAGGCAGGGCGTGGTAGGGGAGCGTTCCTTCCTATTGTGGCCCACTTTATCAGAACTTCCCAGGGTTCCTCTGCCTTCCCCGGAAACTGCGACCCCTCTGCCCACTGCGTCTCAGGCAGACAGAGTGGTGAGTGAGGTGCCTGCTTTCCCGAAGTCCACGCCCACAGGGCCTCTGGAGACAGGCCCTGAAGGGGAACCCTGAGCCCCGGAACTCCAGGGCCTGTGGGCAGAAAGGCTGTGTCCTGCCGCATTAGCGGGAGGACGACTTGGAATCACAGATTCATCACTTCTCAAGAGTGACATTAAAGGTCATCGAATCCAACAGCCAACGGGGACCCCAGACCCCTCTGTGAGATTCAGGCGGTCTCTGCTCCCGTCTCTCCCAGGACTGGGAGCTCGCTGCCTCCTGCTCAGGTGGCTGGTTTGGGACTTTTCCATCAGTCCCTTGCTCACCTTCAGTCATGATGGGACCTCAGCCTTGCCCACAGGATGGAACCTGAGGACCAGAAAGGGAGGGAAGGGAGGGAGAGAGGGGTGGGGGCTTGAGGTCCACAGGCTGGTGTGGGAGGATGAGGTCTGTTCTTGGATGACTGTTGCTTGTGACATCACCTTCTCCCAGGTTCCCGGCCTGGAGGACACGGTCTGTCCCCAGTCTGAGGCTCCAGGGGAGTGTGATCACGCAGACCTGAAGGGCCAGGCACAGGGGTGAGGGAGTCAGGGAGCATGGCGGGTGCAAATACTCTGAGCATCACCTTGGCTCCTCGGTGCTCAGCACTGCCCTTCCCACCGAGTCCTCCTCCTGCAACCAGGTCTGACTGCGGGAGGCAGGGCCATTGCTGTACCCGACCTCACACCTGACTGGGCTTTGACAAGGTCATTGGCATTAATTACACCTCATTGACCTCTGCTCCTTCATAGTTCCGGGTTCTGGTAGCACTCTGTCTGGGTCTGTATTGCAGTCTACAAACCCATGAGGAAGCCCCCCTTCACCACCATCTCCCCGATGTGGGCTTCTTGCTGGCATTGCTCTGGCTGCAGCCTCAGTAGCCATCCAGGGGTCATGTTCCTCACAAATGAACAAAACCCAAAGGATGTGCTCAGACTAGAGCTCCTATAATTATATTCACTGGACAAGTTCTCACGGGTGCCTGCCAACTGCCAGACACTGCTCAGGATCGGGGATACAGAGAATCACTCTGGTAAGCCAGCATTTATGGAGTGCTTCTTATGGGCTGCATCCCTCCGCATGGGTTAGTGGCTTAAACATCCCTCTTAGATCAGTACTTCCCCCATTTTACAGATGGAGAAGTTGAGACACAGAGAGATTAGGTAACTTCCCAAAGTCACCCAGCTAGTCAATGGTAGATCCTGAAGTTTTAACCACAATGCTTCTAGGTCTCTGGTCCCTTAAGAATTCATTGCAGTGTGTGCGTGTTCACACACATGTACACAGTAGATAGATGAAAAAAAAATGACAATACAAAGTAATCATGGCTACAGCTGGAGGGATGTTAAAGGTGCTGGGAGGGTAGGGGGCATCATAGCTTTTTCTGATAGGTGCTTCCAGGAACCAAGAGGGGATGGAGGGGTGTGGTTGACTCAGCTGGGAGTCAAGAGGAGAGATTCCCAATGAACCAGTCGCCTCAGATAAGAGAGCTTGGGTTTCTCCTGCTCCCCTGCCCCAGGGGGAGGGCGCAACTATCTATCTACATGAGATAGGAAAAGAACATGAGACTCCTCCCTGTGGCTTACACAAAGACCATTCTAAACCCAAATGTCATTCGCCAAACAATAAAATGCTTAGACAAAAATATAAGAGTTTTTATGACTTCCGGATGCAGGGAGGCTTCTTCAGCAAGACATCACTGTGGGGGGGGGGGGGGGTGTAAGATACTTGACTAGGTCCATATGAAAAGCTTGAGTAGAGGAAGACACCAGGAATAAAAGGAAGGATGAGGCACAGACAGGGAGACGGCATTGGCAATGCATATAACTGGTACAGGGTTAGTAGCCAGAATGTATTAATCAATAAAAGGCCAAACCATTTTTAATTGGCAAGTTGTAGGTAAGAAATTCACAAACAAGAAAATTTAAAAACCAATGGCATATAAGTAATGTTTAACTTCACTAGTGTTCAAAGAAATGCAAACCTCAACTAAATACATTTGTACCTGGTATCCTGGAAAGGGGCTTCAGATATGTCTGCAATGTTTTATTTAAACTAGAGGCCCAGTGCACGGATTCATGCACAGGTGGGGTCCCTCAGCCTGGCCTGCAGGGATTGGGCTGAAACTAGCTCTCCGACATCCCCCGAGGGGCCCCAGATTGCGACAGGGTGACACCCCCCAGAATCGGGCTCTCTCCTCTCTGGTTCCGGGTGTGTCACCTGAGAACCACAGCTGCCAAGTCACTGCAGCTCAGCAGCTCCTGTGTTGAGTGTCTGCCCCTTGGTGGTCAGTGGATGTCATAGCTACTGGTTGGATGGTTGAATGGTTGGACGGTTGGTTAGGCATATATATATATATATATATATATATATATATATATATAATATATAATATATATATATGGTATTCATAGATAGATAACCTAACATTTTCTAATTTTGAGAATCCGTAATAATAATCACGGAGCCGTGACCAGTGTGGCTCAGTTGGTTGGGCATGGTCCCATGCACCAAAAGGATGCCAGTTGGATTCTTGGTCAGGGCACGTGCAGAGGTGGCAGACTTGATCTCTGGTAAGGACATGCAGGTGGCAGCCAAATGATGTTCTACTCTCGCATTGATGTTTCTCTCTTACTCTCCCTCTCCCTTCCTTCCTCTCTCTCTAAAAATCAATAAACTATTTTTAAAAAAATCTAACTCTATATATGAATTTAAGCATTTCAAATGGCTCCCCCCCCCTAAATATGCATATAAAAACACTAGGTTTCTATCCCTTAGAGATTTATGTAACATACGGGACCAACAGAAGAAGACTAACACATGGCATTATATACAAATTTTGCTGTCACATGAGTATGCTTTACTGTAAACTTCCATCGGGCGGAAACCAGCTGTCCAATGCCGCCTGCTGCTCCTGCCTGCCACTTCCACTCATCCCAGCCCTGCTGCAACTGCCCTCAGTCCCAATCAGGAGAGGCTTGTGCTGCCACAGTGGCGCTCGCCAGCCATGAGCCCTACCTCTGGTGCCTATCAGTTAGCTGAGTGGCACTCCCACTATGGGAGTGAACTGACCACCAGGGGGCAGACGCTCAACACAGGAGCTGCCCCCTGGTGGTCAGTGCACATCATAGCGACTGGTCGACTGGTCATTTGGTCGTTCAGTCATTTGGTCACTTAGGCTTTTATATATGGAGATAGAGATAGGAGGCTGATTAAATATATTAGGCAATATCCACACTAAGAAATATTATGTAGACATTACAAAAGTGAAATAAAACCAATTCTGTTGAAATGGAAAGATGACCCAGATATATTACATGAAAAAAATGCAAGTCACAAAATAATATATCTAGTGTGAGCTTGTTTGTGTTTGTGTCTCTGTGTGTGACCATAGAAAAAAGACTAAATGAACATACAGCAAAACAGTACTAGCAATTATCTCTGGGGAAGAAATTTCACTCAGAGAAATTGTTGATAGGACTGGCTCTGAAGCCAGAATACTCAGATCTAAATCTAACTTCCACCTTGCACTAGCTATTTGATCCTGGGCAAGGGATTTCATTTCTCTGGATCTTAGTCACAATATTACCTAATACATATGATGTAACACATTTAAAGTGTGTAAGATGAGGTCTAGCACATAGTAAGCACTCAATAAATGCTCATGTGTTTTAAGTGGTTGCCTTATGGACAACTTTCACCTTCTAAGAGTAAATTTTTATATATTTTTCACGTAAAAATGAATTCAATGTAGTTTTTAAAAGATTTTTAAAATGCTGAACACATTTAACATAGTTATTCTTGCCATAGACATCCTCTCCCTCTCGGGGTGCCTCCCCTCAGTGTGGCAGGTGATTGACTGCCTGTGGCTTGAAGGTAGAGTGTCAGCTGCCGAATGACTGCTGGTGACCTTGATGTATGCCATCTACTTAATGAAGCGCTGGTAGAGCTTGATATCTACAATGCCAACACTAGGTCTGTAAAAACTGTCTAATGTTTCTAAATGGTAATTTTTAAGTCTCTACTTAAAAATTTTTGGGAAATTGATCCAATCTTGAAGCCAATGATTTGTCTCTAGAACTATTCTTGCTTTCTACTCCAATCCGGGCAGAAGTGGTGACCCCCGCACTCCTGCTGACGTCTCGGAAACTTAATTTTAAAAGGGTTTTGTGGTCAGAGGCTGTTCGGAAGGGCGGCCCTGACGCACATTGGCCTCAGGATTCACTTCCTGGTGGATGGGGTGCCGGGAAGGGACTGGTGACATCACTCAGGCACGGGCATTGTGGGGAAACAGTGCCACCATGTGGGGTCCACATGGTGCTGGCGGGAACCAGCCTCTCCCTGGAGAAACTTGTTTTCTTTCTCCTCAGAAAGGCTGCGATTCTCTAATGACCCTCTTTCACTTTTAAGACACTGTACTCCCAGCCATGGCAAGAACAATCTTCAGGATGCAACCTCTGGAGTCAGAGCCGGGGTCCCCAGTTCCACCCTGGTGGGCATCCTGACTCCTCAGCTCACGCTCAGACTAGATGCCCAAATGTGCCTTTTTGGCCGAGGTGGCCAGGTATGTGCCAGACTCTCTGACGATGCATTTGAGGGCTTCACTTTACTTCCTAAAACCTACGGTATTGACTTCCGAGGATCCAGCTGCTACAGATTTACAATCACAGCACCGCTGCCAGGGCCAATGACAAGAGGAGGTGCCTCTCCTGTTTGTTGGCCTCTCCAGGACCCTGCGTGGTGCCTGGGCATGGTGAGTGTTTGGCAAAGATGTGTGGAATAAGTGAATGTGTCCCTGGGAAGAGTGCTCCGGACTGTCCGTTCTTCTAGAAGAGTAGAATGAACACCAAAAAGGAGAGGGTATGGGAGGCCAGGTCCCCTTCTGGGAGCAGGTGCACACACAGAAGGGTCCAAGTGTCCATCAGTTTTGACCGGGTCTTTACAGAGCACGGGCAGGACAGAGAGCAGCAGGGGGTGGTGATGCCTAAAGACAGGGAGCTGCTAACACCCAGACCTGGAAGAACAGGGAGAGAGCAGTGTCGCTGAAGCTGTGGAAAACGGGCACCTGCAGGAGCTGTGGCTCCAGAGGAGCAGTCCTGTCTGAACTCGCCAATCTCCCCCTCTGCTTAGACCGAGCAGTAAGCCAATGGGCAGGGAGCCTGGGTCATGGGGTCCAGAGGAGAGTCTCCGGGGAGCAGAGCAGGACTGAGCAGGCAGAGCATGGGTCGGGGGTAGGCCAGGAGTTGAGGATGAGGAGCACAGTGTCAAGAATGCCCCAGGCAGCAGGAAAGCCAAGGAGAGGAGGGCTGGAAGGAGGCCATGGATAACTTCTAGGGGTCAGAC